GGAACAGCAGCAGGGTGTAAAATGTGACAGATTTATTTTAGGGCTGGAACCCTGTCCTGACTGGAACTGGTCATGGGTCAAGTGTAGGACACACACACACACACACACTGTATACTATGTGAATGGAATTATGGGACGTACATTATGTTAACATTTTAATTAGACACAAATTTAGCCGAGGACTGAAGTGTCGACTAAATTCATGAAGGAATTGAATGTAATCAAGGCAGGACCCAGATTCAAACAGGTGACCTGCTGATGAAGGTCTGTCTGTCGTCACATTTAGGACAGCCTTCGTCAGTTAATGATGATGAAGTGAGATCATGATTAATCAGATGAATCCACAGCTGCCCTGTGATTACTCCAGTACAACACGTTGTTCCATCAACTGTTTGATCTACTAGATCCTTTACGCCCTGGTGTTGGTCCAGTCAGTTTGGACGATGTTCTGTGCAGGTCGGAACACGACCCTAAAAATGAACTCAGCGAGTCCTTGTTTAAAAAAACAATCTTAAGAGTTAACTTAGTGAACTCCCCCTCTACCTCCTCCCAACACTGGTGCCATCATAGGTTACTGGGTCAACATTAACATTAAAACTCTGCCCATTGTCATCGGGTCGCAGCCCAGCCAACAACAACAACAACAACAACAACAGTTGTCTAAGGCGTCTGGACCATCAGGACTGTTTCTGTTATTTTGGTTCGGTCAGAACTACTTTTTTTTTTTTTTAATGGTTTGTAATATGACAGAACCAGCGTGGACCAGGTTCAAGTCCCAGAACTTCACTGTCAACAAAGCTGCTGTATTATTTCCCTGAAACAAACTCCCGTCTCTGATCAGAGAACCACCCGTTTCTACACAGCCCCCACTTTCCCTGTGGTCCAGGCCTCCTGTATTTGGGAGGGGGGGGCAAGGGGTGGGGAGTCTGGGGGGGTGCATTGATCATGCAGGCAGCTGTCAGCGCTCTCAGGTGAACTCCTCCTCAGGCAACAGTTCAACTGCCTCAGACTGAGGCTGTGCCACCGAGACTGACAGGAGCACTGACAACATGAGGGAAACCTGAGTCCTTAAATTCTCTTTCTTACGACATTCCTCACAAAAATAACCACCAACCACCAGGGGCACAAATGAGCTGAGCTGAAGCCAAACGCTGCTGAAAGAAATTTTGGAATTTGCGTCCAACGATTGGTTTGAGATTCCTGGGCTGTGTGTGATATCATGTATTTATCGTACATGTTCAAGTGAGGATCACTGCCCCCCCCCCCCCCCCCCCCTGACATGTTTTCCCTTTACATTGCCTTAAAGTTCAGGAGATGAAATGGGGTGTGAACAGTGTGTGTGGGGGGGGGGGGGGGGGGGGGGGGGGAAGACGGGGGGCCAACCACCCCCCACCCCCGTCTTTCTTCCATCCACCCAACATAACTGCACCTGTCTTTGTCTTTGACTATCTGTCTGCCCCCCAGTCATACCCTGCTCAGTAAAATGCATATATCAGAACTCAACAGAATCTCATTTTCTGCTGAGTTGAATTTTATTTTGTTCTCAACTTCTACACACGTTTTTTTCTCTGCTCCGGGGCAAAACCTCCACGACGACAGACAAGCTGCACGGACACTCGCAGCCTGTTGGCTGTAGGCAGCGATGATGGACTGAACACACGCACCGACGCTTCTCTGTGACGTGTAAACGTTTAAACCACTGACAGCAGCTGCAGACAGCCTGGGAGACGCATGATTGACAGGTGAAGACGTGAAGGAGGCGGTGCCTGTCAGGTGGTGTTCAGGTCATGACCTGACCTTTCATCCTGGTACGGCGTGAGAACACAAGAACAAACCAGCTTCACACATACAGACGCTGCTGCTGCTGCTGCTGCTGCCACTGTCAACAATGTTAAACATCTGGGTCGTGGGCTGACAGCTGTGCCCTGCCTCACCGGGCAGACAAATATTTTCTTCTATTATCTGTAAAATTCTGAACCAACAAGGATTGACTATGAGCAAAGAAGTTGGACTGACACAGAAAATGACCCACTGTGTTCTACTGCGGTAGAACAGCTGGTTCTGGATGGACTAATCAACCTTAGTCAACGACAGGTCAATAAGACCATAGAGAGTTGACCTTTGACCTGAGCACAGTCAACACTGTTTCTGCTTTACACAAATGTTCCTACAGAACATCTCCATAAATCCAGAAAGAACAGAACAAATCCACACGTTTTCTCATCTACAGTCTCATCTGTATTTATGTGCTCGTCTGCACCCTGGTTGAAGTTAATTGTCATTCCCAGAAGCCCTTCCATGTACACCAGGGGCTATCGTTTAAATCTACGACCCCAAAGGGCAAATTTCACCTTTGATCAAACGCCTTCGGCTCACGTCGACCCCATATATACGTCCTTTGGCCTTCATAGGCAGTGAGGGACTGTACAGAAGGAAGAGTCCAGAGGTAGGTGGAGGGAAGGGAGGCAGAGGAGGGGGCGATCGTTGAGGGGGGGCAGAAGTGATGGAGAGAAACACTTTTAAGGGGCAGGTATTGATTTGGGATTTTAATGTTTTCTCAATGATATGTCCAATTAGCCTCTGAACCTTCTGTAGATCCACAGCAGGTTCACCCCGAGGCTGGTCAACGGAGAACGTTTCCTCAGTCTCTCTGAAATAATAACTGATAAAACCCGTTTGTGTCAGAAGAACCCAAACGGGTTTTATCAGAGCCAGAAGAACGGTCTGACCTGTGGTCTGCAGCCTGTCCTTCATCTCTGTCTCTTTCTTTGAAACAACTCTTGAAGCATCTTTAATATTCAACATGACAACATCCAAACTCCACTCTGCTCCTAAAGTCCGCTCCATATTTCTGCTCCAGCTCTGACATGACTGTCGTTTTATTAGTGAAAAAAAACAACTTTTCATTTAGATTTTAACGACCCTTGTTTGAAGTATTTATATGATTTCATGTTGACCCACATTCACTGAAGTTCTACTTAGAACAGTGCTATGTGTGTTCACATGTTGGTAGAGCGAGGCATTTTATTTGGACAATCAGTCTTCACCCAAGCTAGGCTAACACTGCTAACAACCTCAGCCTCTCCTTTTCTTTGGTCTTAATCCGCTGATCTTGAGTGTTAATACTGCCACCTACTGGCTCCATTTGTCAATGATGATTGTGTCTTCTAGAGTATGTTCTGATTCGCGTCCCCACAAAGGAAAAACAGGGCAGAAAACAGAGGGTAGAAATGTAGAGTCTAATAAAATGACTGATTGTTTTGAATGTAGGTTCGTAGAAATATTTCCTCAGACGCTAAGATCCTCACATGTAGAAACACACTCCCTGTCCTCACATCAACATAGACAAAAGGCAGAGTGTGAGTCACAGCTTCATACCAGGGCACTGAGAGCTGGGGATTTCCACACAGTGAAAACAGGTGACATCTGTCTGTGAAGAGTGGAGCTGCGCCGGACTGAAGATCCAGGCTGAGTCTGTGAGAGGAGAGACAGGGACAAGAGGGTCAGAGGGGCCAAAGGTCCTCAGTGTAGCCACTTGGCCTAGGCTTCACCTGAGAACCAAGCTGCTAATGTGATGTCACACAACCCCCTCCCCTCTCTGAGGAGGAGCCGGTGTGATTACCCCACACACACACCCCTCCACACACACACACGCTTGGATTGTTGTCACTGTAAACAAAGTTCACACAAAGTGTTCACACATCACTAAAGAGCAACTGAGCTTTGCAATAAACATCTTCTTGGCATCACTTCATGAGACCTGGTTTGGTCCTAACACCTGCCCCCCCACTACCCCCCCTCAAAAAAATAAAACAGAGGAGAGAGGACACAAGGACAGAAGTCTCAGAATAAAAAGTACAAATGATCAGACCCCCCACCCATGGCCCCCCCACCACCACACACACTGACCTACAGGACAGAAACAAAAACTGGACATGGACTTGTCCGTCTGTGGCTGTCCAACTCAGGGACTGTTGGACAGTGAACGACTGTTTTCATCCTGGATACTTTCCTAAAACGGCTAATTATACAGACCACTTAACGAGCTAATTAGACAATTATCCCAGCAGACAAACTATTGGCAGGTAAAAATCAATTCACAAGACAGATGGAGGCAGAGATTAGAGCTCAGTGTGTCCAGACAAAACAAACACAGAACCACACACACACACGCCCATTGATGGAGATCAATAGTGATGAAATGATGGATTACTGGAGGAGTATGAATGGACGAGCGGTGGTTCAGTGGTTCAGTGTTGTTGTTGTGTTTATAAATGGACACCGTTCTGCTGCTGGAGCTGTTCAACAGGGCTGACGGAGTTAACAGTCAGAGGTGACATAGTTTTGACTACTAACTCTGACTCCTTGTCTCCTCTGACTTCACAGTTCTTTCCTTACTTCCTGTACAGTCTGTGATCTGTTGTGTTTGTTCAAACTACTGCCCCCTGTGGGAAAATACACAGATGAAAATGTGTTCTTATTCAGGTGGAGGTGTGAGCTGTGGTGGGGACAGTCAGTCAGCCAGTCAGTCATCTCGTTAGTCAGTCAGTCCGTCAGTCAGTCAGTCATTCAGTCAGTCAGTCAAGACAGTCAGTCAGTCAGGCAGTCAGACAGTCAGACAGCCAGCCAGTCAGTCAGTCAGATAGTCAGTCAGTCAGCCAGACAGACAGTAGGACAAACAGTAGGACAGACATTCAGTCAGTCAGTCAAGACAGTCAGTCAGTCAGACCGACAGTCAGTCAGTCAGTAAGACAGACAGTAGGATAGTCAGTCAGTCAGTAAGACAGACAGTCAGAGAGATAGTCAGGCAGGCAGCAAGTCAGACAGAAAGTCAGTCAGACAGTCAGACAGGCAGACAGTCAGTCAGGCAGTCAGTCAGTCAGCCAGACAGACGGTAGGACAGACAGTAGGATAGTCAGTCAGTCAGTCTGTCTGTCTGTCTGCCTGACTGGCTGACTGTCCTACTGTCTGTCCGACTGTCTGTCTGTCCGACTGTCTGTCTGTCTGTCTGTCCGACTGTCTGTCTGTCCGACTGGCTGCCTGACTGACTGTCTGACTGTCTGGCCTACTGTCTGTCTGTCCGACTGTCTGTCTGTCTCTCTGACTGACCGTCTGTCCTACTGTCTTTCTGTCTGTCTGTCTCTCTGACTGACCGTCTGTCCTACTGTCTATCTGTCTGACTGTCGGTCTGACTGACTGACCGTCTGTCCTACTGTCTTTCTGTCTGTCTGTCCTACTGGCTGTCTGGCTGGCTGACTGGCGGACTGCCTGACTGTCCTACTGTCTGGCCTACTGTCTGTCTGCCTGACTGGCTGACTGGCTGACTGGCTGACTGGCTGACTGACCGACTGTCTGTCCGTCTGACTGACTGACCGACCGTCTGTCCTACTGTCTTTCTGTCTGTCTGTCTCTCTGACTGACCGTCTGTCCTACTGTCTGGCTGGCTGACTGGCGGACTGCCTGACTGTCCTACTGTCTGTCTTACTGTCTGTCTGTCCGACTGTCTGTCTGTCCGACTGTCTGTCTGTCTGTCCTACTGGCTGTCTGGCTGGCTGACTGGCGGACTGCCTGACTGTCCTACTGTCTGTCCTACTGGCTGTCTGGCTGGCTGACTGGCGGACTGCCTGACTGTCCTACTGTCTGGCCTACTGTCTGTCTGCCTGACTGGCTGACTGACTGTCTGTCCTACCGTCTGTCCGTCTGACTGACTGACCGACGACTGACCGACTGACTGACTGGCTTTCTGTCCTACTGTCTTTCTGTCTGTCTGTCTCTCTGACTGACCGTCTGTCTGTCTGTCTCTCTGACTGACCGTCTGTCCTACTGTCTATCTGTCTGACTGTCTGGCCTACTGTCTGTCTGGCTGACTGACTATCTGTCTGCCTGTCTGACTGTCTGGCCTACTGTCTGTCTGGCTGGCTGACTGGCGGACTGCCTGACTGTCCTACTGTCTGTCCGACTGTCTGTCTGTCCGACTGTCTGTCTGTCCGACTGTCTGTCTGTCTGCCTGACCGACTGGCTGGCTGTCTGACTGTCTGGCTGACTGACTGGCTGAGTGACTGACTGTCCTACTGTCTGTCTTACTGACTGACTGACTGACGGACTGTCTGTCTTACTGACTGACTGACTGAATGACTGACTGACTGACTGCCTGACTGACAGACTGACTATCTGTCTGTCTGTCTCTCTGACTGACCGTCTGTCTGTCTGTCCGACTGGCTGCCTGACTGACTGTCTGGCCTACTGTCTGTCTGACGGACTGACTGACTAACGAGATGACTGACTGGCTGACTGGCTGACTGGCTGACTGGCTGACTGTCCTACTGTCTGGCCTACTGTCTGTCTGGCTGGCTGTCAGTCAGTCAGTCAGACAGTAGAGAAAATCTAATGCCAATGTGAGATCTTGTAAAGCCATCCATCCATCCATCCATCCCTTTTCCTCTGCTTATCCATTACCGGGTCGCGGGGGCAGCAGTCTCCACCCAAATCACATTGCACCGTAACAACCCCCTAAACCTTCCTGCAGGTGGTGAGTCCACTGGAAGGTATTAACCACCCTAACTGGGATTCGAACTTGGCCAGGAGGTGAACCCTGGGGTTCCACACCAATGACAGAGACATTGGCTCTGGGCCAAAGCGCCACTGAGATCTTGTAAATGACAGCTGTAAATGGAAATCAATGCAGCGGAGACAGGAGAGTCCAGGTCTCATGTAGGACAGAGAACCATGGCCTCCCCTACTTACTACCTAATACATCTGAAGACTGGACACAGCACATGATAAAGTCCGACGGCTCGGTCCATCTCAAAGGCAGAACGCTGACGTTGATGTCTTCACCACACACAGACGGCCTTGGGCGTCTCACAGACACATGGACATGGACACACACGCAGGGAGATATACAAGGTACAAAATGACGTGGTTCTAATGTTCTCACAGATCCTAGCTCCTCACCTGGACAGGACCTGGAAAGAACCTGGAGCTGAGACAGAGACTCAGGAAGCAGAAGAGAACCAGAAGAGAACCCAGACAACGTTTCATTGACGGCTTTGCTACAACAGTAAGCAGAGGTGAAGGAACAGGAGGCCAACTGGCCCAGGGCCTGGTACTGGTCCAGGGCCCGGTGGACGGAGCTCCCTGTGTCCTGGACCCTGGACCTACAGAGACTGTTTGTTGAATGGTCTTCTGCTTCTCTACACTGATTACAAATACTTGGAATAGGATTTTAAAAAGGAGAGAGATGGTGAAACTTCTGCCAAGGGCTGTGCACCTGTAAGACTGTGCCCCACACTCCCCCCCCCCCCCCCCCCCCCCTCTTCAGGGACGGCTGAAAACCACTGCTCATGTCCTGGTGTTGACAGTAGCAGCCTCAGACCTGTATCGACCCGATCTGTTTAATATTCATAAAGTCCATTTCAGCTTCAGTAGCTGCTATCGCTCTGCCACTGCGCTGCCTGCTCACTAAATCCATTCTCATTGATCACCATCGGCTTTCCTGAATGCGCATTGATTCCATTCAAACTCACGCTCAAGGTTTCTCTCAAAATGAGCCAGTCCCACAATTCACTTAGAAATGAAGTCTTCATTTCCCAGCCTCCAGCTCCTACGGCCCAGGATGTTTCCACTGATGCCCGTCACAGGGCCGCAGAGATGACGCCGCCGATCATCTTCATTCAGTCGCCAAGATTGATCTCACTTCAATTTTTAAGGGTTTTTAATGAAGCCTGACTGAGATCAGTCAGTCAGTCAGTCTACAACCGACAACTGTCAGATGGACTGTTCAGGACTGTGGACTGATTCATATTGTCGAGGACAACAACTAGGTTCTAGAAAACACCGTCCAGATGAACTGAAATACACCAACTCTATGAAAACAAGTACACCGTACTGGGGTGGGATGGAGTAATACTACATGTACTTTCATAGGTTTCACATGTTTGGGTTAGTCACAAATATAAACAAGTGAAACACATACATCTACTTGTCTCTCTGTTCCACAAATACACAGGAATAAAGTGTCTTGTCCAAATAAAGTGTGCACAGTTGACCTTGAATAGTCAGGACTAATTACCATAAGGACTAATCATGATTAATCCACAGCTGCACAAACGGTTTGGTACGGTCCCTCAGAGAGAGCCCATGGTTTGAACCGACAGCATCAAACCTTTGGGGGGAGAGTTCTGGAGGAGGATTTTTAGTGACAGCAGCAAGGGGGAGAAAAGGGGGAGATGAACAGTCTTGACTCCCCATTAAAGGCTGTGTTGAAGACATATGGGCTGAATCACGTGTTAACAGGGAGTACTGATTAACACATGTGGAGGGAGCCACTGCAGTGTGAGGGGCTTGGAACGGGTGGAGGGCGAACGAGAGGGAGCGGGAGGAAGAAAAAAAAAAAGAAGTGAGAGATGTCAGAAAACAAACTAATCTGAAGATGAACAACACTCCTGGAGGAATGAGGGACTCTCCCCACGTCA